GTTCAACCCAACAGCAAAATGGCTGCAAAGTTCATCTCCGCGCCCCACTGGGAGCTGCCTTCCCTGCCCGCGCTGCCGGGGCACCCAAGCACGACTAATGTGCGAGAGCACCCCGGGAGGAGGCGCGACCGGCTTTTTCCCTTCTCTTTTCGAGCTCTTTATGCATTTGACAGAGCTTTTTGCTGCTTACCCCCCCCCACCCCCTTTCTCTGCCTCCCCCCTCCCTGCCCGCATGCCATGGGGCACCCCAGCTTCTACTCTTCTGGACGCCCAACATCCCTGGGGGTCCCCAGGTATCTGGGGTTCTCGTGCTCCCCCAGCCCCCTGCATCCTTATGGACGAGGGTGGAGGGTTTCCCCCCACCTCCGTGGGTCCCCACGGATCCTGCCTGCCAACCCGCCCAGCCCTGTGCATCCCCATGGGCTTGAGGTTCTTGCCCCCCTAGCCCCCCCCCCAAACCCTGAGCATCCCCAGGGGTGGGATTTTGCCCCTCAAGCCCCAAACATCCCCATGGATGGGATTTTGCCCCCCCAAACCCTGAGCATCCCCATGGGTGGGACTTTGCCCCCCAAGCCCCACACATCCCCACAGATGAGACTTTGCCCCCCAAGCCCCGAGCATCCCCATGGGAGGGATTTTGTCCCCCAAACCCCATGCATCCCTACAGATGAAGCTTTCTCAGCCTCTCCCCGCCCCATCCCCAGCCCCACAGACATAGGTTTTGTCCTCTCCATCCTCACACGTTCCCACACCAGGATGCCTCCCCCCTATCCACCACCCCCCAGGTCTGGGGCGGGGGAGCAGGCAGGAAGGGGGGAGCAGCGGCTGCACGGGGCCAAGCCCCATTCCTTATGCATCCCTGCCCTGATGCAGCCTGACAGGCCGGTTGCATTTGGTACCTCGCACATAAGCGGCCGGAGCTGCCTGCTATTTTGGTTGATGCTAATTTGCTCCGTGTTGGGCTGCGGTTCACGCTCCGGTCAGCCTTGCCTGATACTATATTCCCGTTTGTTCCAGTAAAGGTTTTTCTGTCAGCTCCCCTTAGCCTTGACGTGCTCCCCGAACTGTGAATGCAACGCAGTCGGGGACCGAGCCACGTGAGCCTGTCAGCTCTGCTCCGCTCAGCGGCCGGCGCTGGGGGCACCCTGGGGTGGGGGGGGGCACCCCGCTCCCCTCGCCCCCTGATCGCCACG